GCATCACACACCGTGCGAAGCTCGAGACCGCAGAAGATTTATGAAGCCCCGAGAGGTTTGGATCACAAGCAGCCGCTTGAACATCCGCTTGAAAAACAGTGCTTGCGAGGGTAATGGCGGGCAAAGACTCTGGCTGATCATCCGGAACAATATCAACGGAGAGTGGACAGTACTTGGACAGTTGGAGCAACGACGCTGTTTCCTGCAGGCACTTACTTTGTGCAAGAGTTTGAATGTGTAAGCTCAAATTTCAACCACACGAAAGCTTTTAAGGCCATGGCCATGGAACCCAAGGAACCCAACTCATCCTTACATTGACTTCTCGATATTTGCAACCCAAGCATTTGCAAGCCATCGTCGTTACCGACGAAATGTGCCATGGTTTGCTGGCCTCGTACTCTCGACAGGTAGCACATCTTGAGCGCAGGCCCACAACCCCGACAGTGTTTCGATGATGCCAAGTTGTGGTTGCGACATCGCTTTTTCGGAGTTGTGCTTCGGAGAGGGTGAAAGCCGTTGAATTGTTGTAGCACCGGTTGCAAGAATGGCGAGGCTGAGACGGCTACAGCGCTCGTGCTTGAAAGTCGGGTTTTGGTTGGTCAGATTAGTGTCGGACCCATGAAACAGGTCTTGACGTTTCTGGGCCATCCTGCAACAAGCCCTAGACCGCTGTTCACCAACAGGTTCATGTCACCTCCACAACCCAATGCGAGAGCACAGGAAACCCGAGAAGCAGTCTCACGAGAGCGTGAGACTGGCCACCAAGTTGATGCTTTGCTGAGCAGTGCCGAAAGAGCAACACTCCCCTTGGAAAATGTGATTTCGGCAGGGTGAGCTGCAACGAGGCTAACAGTGCTGTGCGCTTTGCCACCAAGGTGCGACATGCTGCCACAAAGCCCTGGTTGCTGATCACAGCTCCGACGACTGGTCCAACAAGGATGCCCAAGGCGATGCCTTGGAAGGCGCTCTTTGCTCTTTGGCGCTCGCCGATCCCTACATGGGAGTACATGGGCCCTGGGCATACGCCGACGCCTTAAGCGGCTTCGAAGCAAGGCCGAGCTGCTGCCGTTGACGTGGGCGACTCGAACCGGTCGTTCCGACTCGTCAGTGATGTCTGCAATGTACGCATTGCAAACACCGATCCTCACAGACTGCCGGGAACAGGGAACAGGCTGATGGAAAGCAGGGTCTCAAGATGTCTTGCCGGAAAGGTGTTCACGCTCGAAGCGGAAATCTTTAAGAAAATCGCAGCTCACGGAAGTCTGTTTGTGGGGTCTTGGAGCTCGTTGGTGGATGACATTGGGGGACGTGATCAACGACGAACACGTGCGATGTCCGATTCCAATGGCGGCATCGTGACGATTCGAGTTTCAGACATCCAAACTTGAAGATGGATCTTCTTAGCACAGGCAGGTCGTCTCACGTCCATCAAAGTGGACTAACCTCTTGACAAGAGAGACGCATTCTCCTTCTCTCCAAGACACGTAGCAGAGAACGCGCCAGCCAAGGTGTAACCCACCAGCAGTCCGTGGAAGCTCCTGCTACAAGATGCTACGAGGCACGAGCCTTCTGGAAGCATGCGAAGAAATGGCAACGTGAGCCTTGCGCAACTCAGTGCTGCAAAGGCAGTAACCTGAGTTGCCAAGTAGTGACTCGTCTGTCTCAACCACGGTTGTCCTGCCACTCTCTCCTTGCATCCCTTCAGCATTGATATCATCCCGAATCCATGAGGCCGTTCCCTCTTGCATCAAAGCTGCTTCACCGGCCACGGCAAGCAGCAGCACCTACGCTATCAAAACTCACGCGTTCTCTGCACCTCTCAGCTGGGCTGAGTGATCAGCCTTGCGCCGTCCAATTCGATCGGAAAGGTAGCCGAACAGCGGGGTGAGAAAAGCCTGCCAGCAAGGATGCACGAGTACGTTCTGTCCGGATGCTATGGCTAGTGACTGTCAGGCTAGACACTGGAAGGCATCAAGCAAGATGATAACACTGAAGGACGCAAGTTGCAGAAGCTCTTGCCACCGTTAATCCGCTATGGGGCTGGGTGTTCGATCTGCAAGTGCGGCGGTCAGCCTGTGCGAAGGAGAAGGCAGTCAGCAGGCCTGATCGTCTGGCAGTACAACGCAGATCAATTGAATTCTGGTAAAGCGCACTGCTTCTCATTTCTCTCAATCTTGCTTCCAACGCTCCAGCACATCTTGCCGCGCCTGCGATATTTCGTGCGCTCATGTTGAAAGTCTTCGATAGCACCGGAACATAGGGTGCGAAGATTCCAAAGCCAAATGCATCCTCGGAGTGTTTTAGGACACGCCCATGGAGCCACAGAACATGGCTGTACTTCATCTCAGGACCTGCACATGGAGAAATAACGGTAAGCCAGCAGCCATGAAGACGATGAAGTACAGGGTAAAGAATGATGCCTTCACAAACAGCGGCTTCCCGGCAGCTTCCCCCAAAAGCCAAAAGCTTCACAGGCATGATGTCCGTTCACACTTGCAACAACATAGTGAAGCTACAGGTGGTAGGGCTCGGCTCAGTCTCTGCAGCGTTGGGTTAACGTCTTCTTCTCGCGTGTGGTAACGATGCGCATGAATGAGAAAAGGCCTCAGCACTGAAATGCACTGCACACCCTTTGCACCCCAATTGCGCTGGACTGTAGCCAGAACCTTGAAAGTCAGTGGGCGACGTGTCGGCATCAAGCGCTGGCTTGATTGGATTGTCAACATTGAGCAGGATGTCCGGCTTGCAATACCGTACGGAGCCCTGCTCGCGCCTCATCCGTCGCTGACTGTCCTACCGGGGGCAGCATTCAACGGTGTCCGATCCGGACAATACTGGGAGCTCCATGATTGGCGTGCGTTGCAACTGGGCTTGCCATCATGAGAAGATGATGTAGAATAATGTACCTATGAGGTACTCTTTCCGATCCTAAACGGGACACTAATTCTGCGAGCTTCCACGCTTTGTTGGCAGTGCTGCACCTTGGCCAGCTGAATCGGCGCTGCTTCGCAGAAACCACATCGTCAATCCAAATGCCATCCTCAGCATTCGAAAAGAAACATGGGCCGTTGCTGCAGTCCGACTCTCAGCTGTTGCATGAAAGCCTGCCTTCGGAACTCAACAGCCGATCAGACCTTCAACCGGGACACACAAGTACTACGTAGACGAGGCCAACGTCAATGTGAGCCGACTGATGATCATGCGCCAGCTCTTCGACGAGTGCAATCCCACCAAGCCTCATGTGTCTAACATGCCAGATACAAGTGAAAGGATGTCAACATGACCCGACCGTCACACGTGCGTTTAAGTGCTGTGCCGGGGCAAGGGTGTTTGCCTCTCGGAAGATGTGGGCCACTGCCTCGCAGCTAGGTCCAGGTCAAGCACGGCGACGGTCGGGAAACCCTCTCCATCCCAGGCCTCTCCGCCAGATCCGGTTTCCTGACCGCAAGTGTCTGCACATCGTGGGAGGTGTTGCTCCGCGTCCTCGGATTCAGAAAGGTTCCTGGCTCTCGCTGATGTGCCGTCGCAACCAGACACAAAACCTGTGCTGTTGAGAAGCAAGTTGAGCTGAATGCTCACCTGAAGCAGCCGCACGTCTCCAAGTTCGCCTGAAGGTCTCGGGATAATGCAGGTTTTCACCCAAACCCCGACGGAAACAAGTCCCACACGCAAGCACCCTGAGGATTTCTTCTTGGATATGAGTCCGACGGATCTTTCTATTCTTCCACTCAAACTTTAGTGCGCACGCACCACTCCCGCCCGCGCACGCATGTGCCTTGGTCTCAAGTGTTGGATGATGCATGCCGAGAGGCATGGCCGGCGAAACCAAGGGACAACTGTGCCGGTTCTGCTCTACCAGCAGCACGTCTGCCGCTGCACGATCCCCCGCATGTTCCCTCTTTCTAAATCTTTTTTGTGCTCATCTCGCTCATATCTAACAGAAAAACCAACAGGCGAGTTACTTTCCTCGCACAGGCCGTCATCTCCAACTTCGCAACCGCTTCCTTCAGCACCAACCTTCGTCTGATGCGAGACTGTCATGTTTCATGAGTTCTACGTCAAGCTCATTCAAGCTCACAGAAGCTCATGTTCGCTCTCTTAACGTTTCCGGATCGGTATGTACGCTAGATAGTTCTCTTGATCCATCCTTCACAATGTCAACACAAAAGCACAAGATGCCGCTCAGCCACGACAACGCACACAAAGGCTGTCAGTACAGCTGGCAGCTTCCATCCACAGCATGCAGGCATGGCTCGTCTGATGGCTGTATTACGATCCGTGCAAGGAACTAAAGACTTCCAAGACATACGTCAGCAAGAGTTCCGGCCTAAGAGACATCGGCTTACACGGAAGCTCCGGTACCACGGAAGTTCAGTTGGAACAAGGCTATGGTTTCGCCTTGAACCAACGCTTTGAGATGGAAGTTCGCGCATAAGCGCTGTCAATGCCAAATCAGAGTCCTAGTTCCCAGGCCGCTTCCGCCAGACAGCTTGGGAGACATTTCTTCCACGCCGAAATTTTTAAGTCGCATGACATCTGCCATGCCACTGCAGGTTTACATCCGAATCGAAGTGTGAAACTCGACGATCTACAATTCTACAAACGACATGAGTCTTCAGCTACGATGTGCTCTAGGAGACCAATCAATGCCTTACCCACACACTCTAGTAGAAGGGATGAAACCGTCCACTTGCTCAGAGACGCTCAGAGGATGCGGGGTTCGAAGAACATCGCTCACTGAACTGCTCTTTTGCCGTGTACATGTTGCTGACTGACATTTTATGAGGCCTTCAAAGCTACCTCAAAATCCGCGGTTGCTTTTCGCGTCGGAAGGTGTCGGAGTCCCAAGCGCCCAAGCTCTGTGAGGCGACCGAGAGGCTTCGCGCATGGCTAGCCGCTTCAACTCGACCAGCCCACCCAGATGCTTCGCTGCTTCGCTCCTTCCTGTCACCCTTTGCAGATCCCTGCGCCACCGAAACGGTTGGACGTGGTGACGACTTTCAGGGATTAGGTGACCGCCTTTTCCCTTCTTGCCACCGTTTGGCCGCATCTCGCAACGCTTGGTTCAGAGCATAGGCGGATGCATTCCTGGCACTGGCTGCAGCGCCGGTTTTGAACAAAAATAGACGGGACTATCTGCACAGCGAGCAGCTTTTCAGCGTCCGTCAGGTAAGGCAGCACGGCCAGACAGCCGACAAATGCAGCAACCTCGACTTGCAGGCCACAGAAGGATTGAAAGTCGATTCCTCGTGGTTTAAGCGGCTATCCTGAGTTGTTGAAAGGAGGAGTGCACTCAAGGCCAAACGGGAGTTCCTTGATAAGACATGCTGCATTCGCAGACACCGGCTCTGCCGCAAGCAAAGTTGGGACATAGCTGCTCAATTGCAGCGCATCGATTTTGCGTATCAGCCCACTCTCGGTATTCAGGGTATGCACGTAAACGCCACCATCCTGGCGATTTCGTGCTCAATGAACCACAACTGGCACGGATTGTTACGAGCACATGCGAAACCCATCGTGCAGCAACACCGCAACTACTCCTTGCAATATGTTAGCAAGCCGCCGCCCCCTGAAAAGCGACCAACGAGGACCTGGTCCTGCAAAAAGCTTGACCGAGTGCAAGCAAAACATGTCTCCGACGACGTGGCAATGCCGAACACGGCAGCATGGTCCTTGCCCTCTGGTGCCAACTCTACCAGCGCGGGCAAGATCACGTTCAGGTCGTCAAGCAGCCGTACCGGAGCTTTGCCACGAGCCTGCTTGGAATAATCACGGATCTCCTTCGTTCAGTTTGGGGTTTGCGACAGAAGCCATTTTGGGCCCAGGTCCAGCACGTCTGGGCGTCGAACTATTCCGGTAACCGTCGACACACAAGACGAGATTCGTGCGTATGCGGGGGAGGTCCGGGCTGAGTCGTGAATTGAAGAGTGCCTCGTAAGGAGCACATCACCCTACACGCCTCAAGCCTTTTGGGGTTAGGAATTGGGTTCTTGAAAGTTAGAGTTTTAGGGTTTAGGGCTCGGGATTTGCTGGTTTGAGGTTACCTTTGTGCCAGGGTTTAGGGTTTATGTTCGAAGCTGGCGGTTCGGGTCTCTGCGCCGCTCCTTCGCGACCTCGAGAGCGACAGTTGTCCAGCTTTAAGGATTTCGTCCTGATGGCTTGGAATGTGGTTGTTGGGGTCAGTGTTCAGCAGATCATGTCTTCGAAGTAGGGTCTTGAGGGTTGCGATTGTCCCTTGGCGACCACTTGTCAAAAGTTTAGGGTTGGGGGTTGAAGTGGGTTTCGGGTTTAAACTGGAAGCTGCTTATACCATCTTATACCTGCGTTAGACAAAACTGATGACAGCACCATACTGGTGTTGAAATTCTAAAGCCTGCGCCCCACTTCGTAGACAAGGCAGCAGGAAGGCAGCAAGTAGAGATGCGCACATGCGAGACGATTCACAACACTTACGAACCACTTGCAGGGCCTGTCCTCAAGGGTCCAAACCTGATCGGTACCTAAAAGCCCAGCAGCCGCAACAGTTAGGCCCTTGATGCGTGCGAAAAGTTCAAGACAAGCCGGAAACCCTTCTCAACGTTGTGCGTTTCAGCTTGCCTGCTGACATGGGTCAGGCTGGGGCGATGTGATTGGTGGGGTGCACGCTGAGCACGGGCCACGCAACGACACCTTGCGCTAGAGCTAGAACCCCAGGTGGGACATCACCGTTGTTGTTGGAAGACAGCAACTACTAGGAAGTAGTTTAAGTCGAATCACTTCGCGTGAAGTCACATCATCCTCGTAAACGCTGGGCAAGGGTGAAGTCGACTCATAGCGTGAGAAGTCACATCAGAGCTTCTTACAATCAAGTCCAACCCCATCTAAACGCTATGCCAAACCCTATTCGGAACAGAAATGCCAAACACTGATTCTGAGTCCGACGCGCAGGCATTTCGAGGTGTTTGAATGGTTGTTAATGTAAATTTCATCGGTTGTGGAGAGCTCCCTTCGATTTGGTTTTCAGCAATGGCCCCCACTGGGCCAGGCCAGTGCCCTTGCATTTTTTGCGCATCATGAACCCTTGAAAGTAGTGTCATTTACACATAGTTTCGCGTTTCTTGGATAAATTCCGAAAAGCCGAAAATCTTCAAACCAAGTTGAACATCAGGTCTGCAACCCACACTTTCGTCATTGGATGGCACTTTCTTAATTGGATAGCAAGTCTTAAATCCTCGAAACCCGAACTCTAGAAGCTTCAGCACAGTTTGACGGTGTACGTCTCAAGTCCAAGCTAAAATCCAAGACATGTGTGATAGCATCGATGCGTTAGAATCTTTCCGTCGATCGGGTGTTAATGCTAGGCTGCGAAGTCCCAATGAGGTGAGGAACGGATGCTCGGTCGCAAAAAGATGCGTTGGTAGCGAAGCGACGACACATAGCAACGTAAAACCAACCATCAGAAGAGTGGCATCAACAGTGCAATTCCTTGTAGAAACCCCTGAAAAAAAGACTTGTGGACCAAGGGAAGTCGCACACTGCAGTTTCAATCAATCAACAAGGACTTCGAAAAGACACGTGAAAGCGGGTCCGGGCGGCCTGGCTAACAACAACAATGGCTCAACTGGCACCATCGATCGAGCCTCTCCCATCCCATTCCCCTCTCTGTATCTGCAAGAGCACCATCCGAAAGCAAGCTGCAGGAGCATGTTGCACTCCAGGCGAGTGCCTCCGAGTCGGAAGTTGTGTAGCGTCCTCCCGTTGCCCAGCGGCATGACAGGTGACGTGTCTCAAACAAGTGCAGAGGTTCACGGGTGAAATGTCGCTTGCATTCCAGCCTGGGCAATTGCGAAGCTCTTTCCATCTGTGCTTTCTCCACACCTTCTCCAGCACAGCCCCGCCATCCCCTGGATACTTGCCATCGCCGCAGAACATGGAACCCGAACTGTGGACATGTGAGTGAGACGAAAGCAGTTAAAGCTGTCAATTGCATGGACTGTGCGGTGCGGCTGCTTGGCTCGAACCCATGTCCAAGAGCTAATCAGAGCATCAGACGTTCTACCTCCGGACTCGTGCATTGAAACTTTGCGACATTTCACAGCTAGTTAGGCATGCTGTAAGTCGCTGCGAGCAAATGCTGTCGGACTGAGCCAGGATGAGCCAGGCAAAGAACAAACCTATACACACACAGACACACACACACACACACGCACACACATGCACACACATGCGTGCAGAAGAAAGCAGATCTTTCCCTCCGCCTCACGCTCAGGAAGTGGCAAGGTTAAAGAGCTGCCAAACGACGAAGAACTTTGTTCCGAGCTGGACTGATCACTCTGCGGCTTCTGGCTTCGTGTGGCTTCGCAGCTCCCGTTCACGTGGCTCAGTCAACGTTTACAACACACGGCGCATCAATCGCTCCCGAGCCACATGTTCAGCATCCGTGGAGTCATGAGCTGCCTTCCTCTTTCAAGGTAGGATTGCTCGTCGAGCCTGATTAACGTGTACTTCGGGCCTGTCAAGCAAGTAGCCCTCTAAACCTCAGAGTCTAAAGACTTCTGAAACACATTCACAACGTCAAATGCACAGTTACAACTCTCATACCTCTTCGCTGATGACTGTGCGAGAACACTTGGTATAGATCCGCCCGTCTTGCATGAGTGCAACAAGAGCTTTGCCTTGGGGGTTCTGAAGTGCAAAAGGATTGGAAAATCAAGTCATCCAAGGGAGACTTTCGGGCCAAGCGAGGGATTCTGTCGCATTTGAGCAAGCTGAGCAGCCCTCCTTGAAGCAATATCAGCTGAACATGCCTGTGAGCCTGGTAATACCCAGCTTCCTAGCATCCCACCCTCGGCCTTGCAGCTAGAAGAGTCTATGCTGGACCTCCGCCGAAAGGGCCATTCCTCAGCATTGTCTCCGTGCCAAGAGATCGGATGACGGTGGGAGTGGGTAAGGTAGAGTCGGTACATTAACTTGAATCGAGGGGCTTGATGTCAGCCTTGGCGCGAATCTCCTCCAAGGTGTAGTCCACAAGCAGCTGGCCATCCTACCACACGCAAGGGCCGCAAGACAGCCACACAGTATCGGGGGTCGACAGTTTCTATTCAACATGATTCAACTGCCAGTCCTTGAAGACATCAACCATGATGTCCTTCGACGCATCGCCCTTGCCGCTAGCGACGGTGACGTACTTGTTGTCCGAACTGTAATGCCTTAGGTCAGCAAAGAGGGGTCTTGGCCGCACAAGCCGAAAGATACAACAGGTCATAAAGACTATTGGAGCAGCCTAAGCACAAGAAGCCAGTTCCGCCAGGGACTGGGTTCTTGTCCGAGCGAGGCTGGTACCTGGCGTTTCCAACCCTCCTCCCCTCTGCTTTGACGACGCCAGCTTCTGCCATGCACGTCGAAACACAACTCCGAGTTTCCATCCCCCCTTTTGAATGTCTTGTGTCAAGCTTGGTAGTACGTGCCTGTGTGGCATTGTATGCATTGTGTTGCAAACCCCGGGCACTTGTCAGCGTCCGAGAAGCCCGTGGTCTCCTCAAGTTTGCACACAACGCAGAGCACCACCGGACCTATCGCTTTCGTCTCGTCTTGCCAAGAGTCAGAAGCCAGCTGCAAGGTTAAACGACCTTTCTTCGAGGCCTCGTCAGCTGGTAGCATCTCTGAAAACCGTTTGCAGCTCTTGGTGGCTGCCTTACCCTTGTCGGTGATCGGGTCCTTGAACCTTGTCCAGAGTCACGAGAACGGAACTGCGTGATTGCTCATGAAACCTCTGTGCTAAAGCTATGTGCAGGTCAGTTGAGATCAGCACACATCACGGCTTTCACCATTGATGGTGATCTCTGCGCACCTCGTGCACCGCACAAACGTGAGGCTGGTTGCTGCATCGTGCTACACGATACAAGCTACACGGGATTCTGCTAAAACATTCCTGTCCTCTCTTCAATGCATCCCGACGCAGCTTCTCTGCCGAGTGCCTTTGCCCTTTCTCTGCACTGGCCCGGGTATGCAACTGCAGCCGAGACTTTGCTCTGGTACTAGTAGGTCAGGTGTGTCTACAGGTTGCAGTGTTTATCACACATGATTGTGCAAGCAATTTGGCTTTGGAGGGTTTGGGGTTTGCACCAGTTCGCCGGCTTTGCTCGGAGATGCCCCTCATCTGTACGTATCCACCCGGCTTTGCAGTCTTCAAGTGGCACGTATACGTTGCTTTGAAGCGTGGGACTTTGACTTGAATTCTTGTGGAGGTCGCCGTGGACCCTTAGAGTTAAGAACTCCAAACCTTGAAACCACTCTTCTACCGTCATAAGCTAAACCCTCAGAACCCAGACCCCTCCCCGTCTCCCTCTCCCTCTCCTGCCCCTTCTACCCTGACCCTCTCTGTGACCTCAATCGCTTTAGGATGGCATTAAGAGATCTGTCGAGAAGAGAACGCGAAGTCACGAGTCATGTGCCCACGTCCCTGTAGCCGGGGCACTTGAAAGCGCACTTGAAGGTGTCTCGGTTCAGCTTCTGCAGCAGAGCTCCGCCACTTCCAAAGCCAATATTGTCCTTGGAATGAAGGCGCGGAACGGATCGCAAAGGATTCCCTTCCCTCACTGCAGCTGCTTGCGGCTATGTTTCAGCAGCAATCCCTTCCTTCTTGAGCTTCTCAAGGATCTTGGGAATGGACTGCCAGTCGACGCCGTCACCCTGCGCAAGGTGCGGAGCCAAGGAGGGAGGCTCCTGTAGCCTGGTTCTGACAGACGAGTAGGCAGCTACCTTCACCATTCAATTCGTTGCCCAAAGTGCCAGGACATCAAGACCGCCTGGATGACGCGGATGTACGCAGGCAGCAGCTTGTGTCCTTGCTGATGGTTACTCTGCTTCCACATATGCATGAAGACTCTGCGTCCTGTCGGAGTCAGCGTCACATCTTCCTGCAGTCGCTTGAAATGTGAACAACTTGGTTGCCTGGTGGGAATTATTTGTTCTGCCTTGAACTGCTCGAGAAGAATCCTGAGCAAGCACGAGGGCCAAGTACGCGCAAGTTGTTACGTGTAGCTACCGAGGTTACTTTCGAAGGTTAGCACAGGTGCTACGAGAGCAAGCGAGCCGAGCCGAGCCGAGGGACTTCAGGATGGCTGTGCAAGTCTCCGCTGGATCACCACTGTCAGGACGCACGACCAGACGACCAAACTTGGTGTCTGTGATGCCTCGCAACCAAAATCAAAATATAACACAGCAGCAGCAAAGCTACACCAAACGGGTCTGCTAGCCAGGCCAAGCCAAGCCACGACCCTTGATGAGATCCTTGAGCTTGTCACCCCAGTAGTCTTTGCAGGCACGCCAGATGTCGAAGGAGTCCGAGACCTTTCGCCAGAAAGCGACACTTCCACTGCTTTGGGAGGTCCAGTTTCCAAAGTTTTGGATGTACCTTCGGGTTGTCTACAGAGCCTATAGTGACTATAGTGCGGGCCTGTGAATATGTGTCAAATGCCAAGGCACGCAAGCCACCAGCCCTTCCGGATATTGCTCCAGCATGTTCCTGTAGACTGTCCGCAGAGGGGTCCGTGTAGCCGATTACATGCGGAAAAATGGCATGTGCGCTGTCCACAGATTCAACCCGTCTTCACCGCCTCATGGCATCGACCTCACCGTCGACGCCCCACGACGTAATTGTGGAGTGTTCCGAAGCTGGAATGGACCCACCGGCTGCCTGCCAACCCCAGCGGGCACGCAAGGCTGAGGATGGGTCATGTCCATGCCTTTTTCGCTCCATAGTAGTCTCTGGCACAGATCATGGCCGCAACGGTGTCAGTGCCAAGGAAGTTCACCAAGTGCCTCGTGCTTCGCATGAGCAGTTTGTCAGAATGTGTCGCTGATGCTATATGCCCAACGAATCCAATGAAACACATCCCTATGGGGGCTTCCGGCCTAGGTCGAGTCCTGCCAATTCTCATCGGGATTTTCTATCGCTCGTTGTTTGCAGTGCTCAATACATTTCTTCAGATTTTACTCGCAGGCAGCAAAAGCAGCTTGCACTTTAAACAAGCAGCCACAAGGCACGACAATGCGTCTCCTGCATCTGTCGATTGCGGTTCGTGTTCTCGAAAGGTCATACGACGTTCATGTCTTAGATTCGGAGCCGATGTGTGCTGGGAATTGGTGTCGCGCATACTAAGGATGCCCTCGTCAGGGCGATTTGCTTGGCATTTTGCAGGCCGTCGTCTGCCTTCCTTGTCTGCCTTTCCTTTCGTTGCCGATTTTCGTCTAGGAACATTGAGAACGCTCTCCGCCGGCAACCCCACACTTTGCTTTCTCGACGCTAATATGTAAGCCTTCTTCACGGACCCATATAAGTGCGGCACGCACATCCTCCAATTGCCGCAGACTCAACGGAGGAAACTCCGCGGAAGCCGAAGTCATGCAGCTTGAAGCCTCGACACACAAGCTGTCTCTGTCAATAAGCATGCCACTCATGCCTCTGCACGCTACTCTGGTGCTCTGGCGTCTGCCGTCATTCGCCAAACTTGCCCTTTTTGGTATGCAGCGCCTACAGGGCATCTTGCAAACATGGCACACACGCCACCAGGGATCGTCCAGTCTGTGTTTCCCGTCTCCTGGCGACCGCCGGAAGTGCCAGACCAGTGATGAAAACCCATTCGTGCCCCAAGCTTCTGCTAAAAGTTCGGCCTCCAAGTATTTGGCAATTGAGATCCTGGGCCAGTTCAGCAACAGCGTCTAAATAACACTGCGTTTCGATAGCAGTACAACCTGTGCTTGTCCAAGACACTTCTGAAATCGGCTCTGTGTGCAGACGGTCATTGGGTACCAAACCTCGCAGCAGTGGCCACCGTATCCGCCACTCTCTTGCCCTGCTCAAACCTTCGCCATCCATAGACAAACCATGGGCAAGAGCAGAACGGCCTGCACCAGCAACGTCTCGAGGAAGTTCGTAAGCCAGAAGCATTTGGGATCCTGAGGTGCAGAATGGTGCAGATCGCACAAGTCCCAGCAATTAACGGAGGCAGATTTGAGGCGGCCCCTCCGGCCTTCGGTAAAGGCTAAATGCACAAACAGCGTTCGCGGTAGTGATGGCAGTGGCAAGTCGCAGTAACAGCGGCAGTACCAGAGCAGCAGGAGCATGAGCAGGACCAGTACCAGTAGTCGTCGTCGTCGAATCACAATCGTAGTGGTCGTAATAGGATTAGTCGACGTCGTGGTAGTAGCTAGTTGTGGTAGTAGTGGCAGTAGTAGTAGTAGTAGTAGTAGTAGTAGTAGTAGTAGTAGTAGTAGTAGTCGTAGTCGTCGTAGTAGTTTTGTATAGTAGTAGTAGTAGTAGTAGTAGTAGTAGTAGTAGTAGTAGTAGTAGTAGTAGTAGTAGTAGTAGTAGTAGTAGTAGTAGAAGCAGTAGAAGCAGTAGAAGTAGTAGTAGTAGTAGTAGTAGTAGTTGTTGTTGTTGTTGTGGTAGTTGTTGCCGTAAGTGGTAGTAGTAAGTGGTAGCAGCAGCCACCGCAGGAGCAGCAATGAAATCGCAGCAGTAGCCCTGCAAGTAGCGTAGTGGTATCCGACATCGTCGTGGTGGTAGCCGTGGTGGTGGTAGTGGTGGTAGTGGTGGTAGTGGTGGTAGTGGTAGTAGTGGTAGTAGTCGTAGTAGTGGTAGTAGTGGTAGTAGTAGTGGTAGTAGTAGTGGTAGTAGTGGTAGTAGTGGTAGTAGTGGTAGTAGTGGTAGTAGTGGTAGTAGTGGTAGTAGTGGTAGTAGTGGTACCACGCACGCTCGTAGGAGGACTGGTGTTTTCATGCGCTTCGAAGCCATTTTGTACGATAGGAGGGGGCGCTGAGGGGTGAGGGGTGGGGGGGAGGATAATAACGTTCATGTCACTGCCTTTGGGGATCATGTCCACAGCACTGGTATTTACAGGGTTTTGCTTCTTTGTACAGCATACTGTGCAAGGATTGTCACAAGCATCCATGCCTTTGGCAACCATGCCCAAAACACTGGTATTTACAGCTTTCGTAGCTTCTTTGTAATTACAGCAAACTGTGCCACTAGCGCTTTCCTAAATGAAAAATGCGTAAAACGCCCGCAGCACAAGAAACATACCAAAAGGGTGCTAAGATCTGAAGTTCGGATAAACGTATCAAAGCACCAGTCCTCCTACGAGCATGTGTCCTAGTAGTAGCAGTAGTAGTAGTAGTAGTAGTAGTAGTAGTAGTAGTAGTAGTAGTGGTAGTGGTAGTGGTAGTGGTAGTGGTAGTGGTAGTGGTAGTGGTAGTGGTAGTGGTAGGAGGAGGAGCAGTAAGAGGAGTAGGAGCAAGAGCAGCAGTAGCAGTAGCAGTAGCAGTAGCAGTAGCAGTAGCAGTAGCCGGAGCAGTAGCAGTAGCAGCAGGAGGTTTGTCTTCCGGAAGCCTTGTTGCCTGCAGTTGCTTGAACCGTAGTCAGCCTCAGAATGGCTGCTTAGATTCTCCAACGGAAACATGGAAACTGAAGCAGAATAGCTAGCAATACTGCAATAAAGATGTGAAGCTTGAATCGCAGCACTGAGTAAGGCAGAGTCAGCAAGCACAGTAACGATCGTACAGGTCGCACCGCATGATCATGGTCAACTCTCACAAATAGACTAGAAATCATAGTGGCAACAGTTGCTGTTTTTGTGCAGCTGATAGCCGGTACAGCAGTGACTGCACAGGATTGTTAGCCACAGCGAAAAGGATTAGGAATGCACTCTGCCTATTTATGACAGAATCAAAATACGTCGTAAAAGTCTATGGGCACCTAGATCTCGAGACTTTCAGGTGATCTGCACAATCCTTAACCATGTCAGTGCTGGCACACAGCAAAGCCTCACAACAATATCGACTTGACTAACTGTTCTCTCTCATAGCCCTGGCCTGCTAGAACGAAAGTGTGCGTGGAAGCAGAGCTTTTGGCATGTGACAAGCAAGCGAAGAGATATGTCAGCTGCAAGCTGGCTAATCAATAAATAAAACTGCCGCTTTCAACGAAACTGGACCTGCTACGTGCAAGTTGAGAACGTTCCTCGCCGAGGCGCAGTGTTCACAAGGGTGAACAAAGCAGTCTTGGTGGGGATAACCATGCCTGATGCGGTTCTCAAAGCGACGCGGAGGATCAAGCGATGCAAAGCCCGGTTTGAATCTCAGACACGACATGCAGAGGCGTTAGACTTCTCGAAGCACAAAATCATGTGTGCTTGGGGCTGTGCTTTCAGCACAACCTGTCAATACTCCAGCTAGTGCAACTTCCCCTACATAACCAAGGGCATCTTGTCTCTGCAAGGTCAGACGAGAACTTCTTCGAGAGGCCTTCAGGAACGGCCTTGATGTGAACAGGCAGCCTGGTCTGCGCTGGACATGTCTGGCATTCCGAGGAAAGTTTAATTTCCGTGTTCCATGTCCCCAGGTGCCGGAAGGTAAAGCAAGTATGCAGGCACACACCAAGCCAGCAAGCGGGACGGTGGAGAGGGGGAGAAGGGCAAAACAAGAACAAACACGCAGTGCCTTCCACCATGCTCCTTCAAGATGTACTCCCATCCCTCACGGTAGAACCTCAAAACTGCAGGGTGACAAAATCAACGAATTCGCATGAAGCTCACAAGCGCAGCAAGTGGCAGAGATTTGTCATCTCCAAAGTGCTGTTCGTAGAGCTCTGCAGCCTCGTCGATCTTCTCCTTTTACCAGCAACCAGCAATGACCGGAATTCACGCTCACATTCAAACCGGCCGCCCCAGTCCTTGGTCACGACCTGGCCAAGCAAGTACCGCTTGATGAAATACCTCAAGAGGCCGTCAAGCTTCAGAAAGTACTAGACTCATAGGGTGTTGGCTCAGTGGTCCACGTGCGTCTGCATGCTGCAGAGATACTGAAGGCCGAAAAAGACGACCTCCTTCCATTCCTCATTCTCACAACCGCGACTTTCGAAATAACCTGGGTGGACAGGCTGAGGTAGGGAAGATGTCTGGAAGCCTGCTTGCTGTTGCTGTCTTCACATACATTCCGAAACATGATGTGCCGAGCGGCTATAAACATACTGTGTTCCAGGAGGGTACTGCTTCCAGTGGCTGACCTTGTAGCTGTCCTGAGCTTTTGCTGTTCTAGCAATCACTCTCTGCGACTTGCCTGGGCAGTTCCGAGTGGCAGAAAGCAAGATGATGTTCCTTGGATCGCTGGCGAACTTGCAATGCACAGGTGGCTCGAATCTAAAGTCCCTGCCCTGGTGGCCAATGCTTTCGCAGATGAGAACTGGCTAAGGCGAAAATGCCACACTTCGTATTCTCTCTTCTCAACAGGTTTCACCTTTTCGCAGATTGAAATTTGTTGCTTGCTTCGCAATGACCAATGTCGCAGGATGAAGAGGCTCGATAAGGGTCGTTTCGACTTGGGGTCCGTTGCTCATGACTTTCGGATGGCCTGTGCAGTTGGTTTCACAGTGCAGCGCTTTCCACAGGACAAGCACGTGTGAAGTTTGAGCACGAAGTTGGATCTCATCATGTGCAGCGATGCAAGCGGTCCAGCTCTTCGGATCAGAACATGCCTACTTAGAACAGCAAGGCTGCTAGCATCTGAAACATGTCTCCGCCCGAAGCCCAACACTGCCAAACCATGAACGCTAACCAAAAATGGTCTGTACGAGCTTGTAGAAAGTCTACTGGTGTCACTGTGCAGCTGCTTCATTTCCTCCATTATCTTGCTTGCGCAGGTCTGACGGGCTACCGTCTGCCGGAACAGTGAAGTGCAACCACAAGCGGCTGAACGACGAAGAAGCAGCTAGTAGTTAGTAGGCTAGGAAGCACCAGATGAATCGACATCTCTTGTCGAGCCGGAGCCGCTTACGAGTTCCAACCACAGCCAACTGCTGCATGTGATGTGCATATAGCTTATGGTCTCCTCGCTGCGTGGCCCGTCTCACTGTTGCCCTTGTATTTAATCCGAGCCGCTCTGTCCAGGGAACGCACTCCATCAGCACCTCCTGCGGTATGTAGTCACGTTGAGAAGAATCGTTCGGGTAGCGAGCTGGGTTTGGCTTTGTTGCCGATTTGCAAATTACTCGGGTTTCCAGAAGCTAACGCCACTACATCTGGCCAGTGAGAGGTAGACTTCGAGGACCCTAATTATCCGAATTGGTGCACGCCAATGCACTGCTGGACTTTCGCGAATCTTTACAAATCTCACCAAACAGACCAGGCCTTGTCTGGCAAACGTTGCACGCCACTTGAGCACTTCAGAAAGCTGCAGTGGTCACTCGTTTCAACAAGCCCAGGATTTCATTCCTGACCAAGGGCTGCCCGTGCTTCGATGGGGCATAATTTGCATAATCTTTTGAAGTGTCTTGAGAAGGAGAGTCGGAGTGCAGAAAACCCGCGTGGGACTGTTGGAGCTAGGATGCTGCAGGTGGAACGGCGATCTGCAGGCGGATTGAACCTATGGGAGGCTTTGGGTGCTCTCGTGCGAAGTAGCACAGCAATGTTGCAGACTCATTTTTGTGACATAAAAACCCCTTGTCCTGCGAGCGTTGAGGGCGGCTTCAGATTTCCTGAACCGCGTCCAGTGCACGCTTGTGGAGGCACTCTGAGGACTGCGGAGATGCTTGCTCTGCAAGCATCTTGCAGGAAAAAGATTCTCAAATTCGCTCGTGCAACAGGTATGGCCCATATGGCTTATTGAAGCCTGCGCTCCCTTACCCATCCTCGGTTGCATTATTGAGAAAACCGCAACCAAATCCTAAGCACTGTAGAACAGTTGCATTAAAAGCATGGCCAACCAGATGGCTCTACAGGCACACCCTCACTTTCCTTTCCCTGCCAGATGATTTTTGATTCCCAAAGCAAAGGATGGTGCTCGCCACATCGCCTTTCTTTGCTGAGGTGCTGCGGGATTTCTTGCCCTGACACTTGCCAAAGCTTCACTGGAGAACCAATCCTACTCTCCAATTCACCCAGGCCTTTCCGAGCTTCTTTTTCTTCTTGATCTTCTTTTTCTTTGCCTTGGCATGAAAATGACGAGCAACAGATCCTCACCAAGAACTGAGCCGCTTGCCAAGAAAGGATTCGACAGCAGGTCCCTCGGTTCCGAAGGTAAGGCAAAACACGCGCACACACACACACACACACCATTTCACTACTGGTACGTGTTTGATGCCAAGCGTAGCGCGGGCTGGTGTTGACGATGTAGATGCCATTCAGGTGACCAGGCTGAGGCAAAAGTGAATATATGGATTAAATGCAGCAGCATGGAAGAGCTGTTTGTACAGTGCACTGGCTCCGCTGGATTCACCATGAACAATTCGTGAACGAAACGTAACTTGGCAGCAGGCATTGAGCTTGTGCGCAGGCATGACCAGGGCTCTTTCCAGGACTCCAACATTCACGGGATAGCTCCTGCAAAAGAAGCATGACACGTCATACAAGCCGCGGGTCTGTTTTCGACTAGCCCGCAGCACACGCTTGTTTTGACTCATCTGTCCTTCGGGCACAAACCCGCTTGATCTCCTCCACTTCTTGCAACTGCTGGAAGCGTATCTGCAGTTGGCTGGATGCTTGTCAGTCGGCTGCTGCATGGCCAGCACGTGGAATTGCGAAGAGGTGTTTTCCGAGACTGTGTTGGATTGCGGTCTGGTGCCTCTGCGCCTGGTGACAACTAGTGAACAACGGCGTGAATGGACTTCCAGCAGCACTTTTGTCATCTTTCTGGCACGAGGAAACATGGAGACACCAGACACGGGGAGGAGCGGGAACGGGATACACACCCGAGCAAGGCCGAGCAACAAGCACAGCTTCCAGCTCCAAGGCTTTGTTGTCATGGTTCGTTCCTAGGCTGCCATCGCCTCGTCCAGTGTCACGCCCGTCCCGTCAGGCCTCGCGCATCTCAGCTACAAAGGGAGGAACCATCTCGGGTGTCTTCCAGCCAAGGTTCGGAGGAATGATGGGCGGATGCAAAGTCCCCCACCTGAAGCACATGACACGGGCTGGAAGTCCCGAGGCCCGAGGTTGAGCCCAATGCCAGTCGCAGATACCCACCAAGACATCCGAGTCGTCCTGGGCCACTTATCGGCAGGCACTTGAAGACGCTGTCAGCTTGACCTTTGAAATGGAGATCCTCCATTCGAGGAACAGCTGCGCGGTCGTCATCTTGGGCAGCCTGATCTTCGGCTCTGCTGCGTCGTTGCTCGACTTCGTCGCTCCACAGCTCAGGCCCTGGCATAAGGACTGAGCCTCGGATGGCCAAAGCACACAAACTGACGTGTTTGGCCGGGGAAAGAGGGGCCCCCGCATGACCGGTGTCGGGCTTTTTGCATGCGGTTCCTCCTCGGCCTCACCTGCAGGTCACCATTGCTGGGAAAGGAAAAATGAACTCCAGAACAGTCACGAGGCCTTCGTCCTCGTTCTCTTCATCGGACTTGGGCCGCTCCTGAGCTTGCCGCATCTGGCGGTCCAGCGCAAAACGACGCAACTCTGGGGCCAAGGCGTCCTCGATCAAGTGCGCATGGATCCGCCGGAGGTGTGCAATCCTGCAGATGCATGCAGATGCGATCTCCGAAGACAAGACAAAGCGAAAGCGCTGAGCGGCCTCGAGTTCAAGGCCTTCGGCTTCTTCTCTTCAGCGAAACGAGCCGCAACCTTCCGGATCTAGGCCGAACGAAGCCGAAGTGGCTTAGAAACAAGACGTGCAGTGAGCCTGAAAGGAGTAGCCTTTGGGTTGGGAGACATCCACCCGCACTGGCTCGCTCGGCCTCCAATTTCCATTCATGCCACATCAACCAATCCGAGATGGCTTGAATCCGACTTTCAATCCAGCACGACATAGGGCTGCTTTGCTGGTCTGCGTGCAGGAACAGTGGCTCGCAGGTGCCTCTTTTTACTACAGGCGCACAGCTGTAGATCGTACTCTGCTAGAACGTTGAGCAACAGGCATAGATAAATGCAAGTGATACATGAAACAGACAGGCACCTGGATGTGTAACAGTCAATGTTTCAACCAGGCACAAATTTAAAACCACGTAGGATTGCATGGCCGTGAAGTCGGCATTCAACTTGCCTGTTATTGCCCAAGCGAACTAAGAGCGGATTGATTGGGCTACAACTGTGACAAAACCTGTACATCTCAGCCTGGAGACAGCATATATGAAAAAACAGAACACGCACACGAAACACAAACGGATCTTTGTTCAAAACTTTCGTTCGAAAGATGCCCTTCCCTCTCCAGATGGAAAGCATACTGCTAAAAAGTTGTAGAGCTTAGCTCCACTTGATGCCAACAATGGCATGTTCAAATCGAAAAGGTTAAGCGGTCCGGTGGCTTCCCTCAAGCATCCTCAAGCTCAAGCTTGAGAACATCCCTCGACATCCGGGACACCAGGACGTTGCGGTGTACTTCCCACATGGGGAGGCAGCCGTGACAAAGATCCTGGAAGGACAGTTTGCCTTTGTGTCACACATCCGGCTTTGTGAAGAGAGCCGCACGGGCACGCACCTTTGCAGAGAAACCTTATCTGGAAGTTTGAGTTCCTCTGTTGCTTTTCGGCCTGCCTTAGCGTCGAGAGATGAATTGGCGCAAGAGGTCAGAGGTGGCGCGATTGCAGCACGACCATGGCAGTTGGGCCGTTCGCCAATCTAAGTCCCTCTTTGGGGTTTTTCGGCGCAACGAGCGGATGCAACTGGGAACTTAAAAGGATGCTTCCTTGGAGGCGCTGCACCAACTGAAGATGCGCCCTTTTGACTGGCGCCCGAGGATCTTCTTCTCCTTTCTGATGGCCAATTCCAAGGGCAGCTTCTCCATCTGGGTCGCTCCCAAGGCTCTGGTCTTCGATCGGTTCCTTGATTGGGACTTCGACATTGGGATCAGCGCCGCCCAGGGACAAGGCAGGATTCCTGAACAGGTCTCCGAGGCCGCCTTATCTACGGGAAAGCGCTTCCTGCTAGAAACCGGAGCGAACTCCCTGATTCATCTTTGACTCGAACTCTAGAAAGAGCCGGCTCTAGTAGCATCCGCGTCTGCATGTTCCATCTCAAAAACACCATTGCTGCAGCGAAGGTCGCGATGGCACATGAATGCCTTGGCACGATGTTTGCCGACTGCTTGCACTACCAGGTCACCTGATTGGTGGTGACCCGAACATGGCACTCTACGGAGCCACGGGATGCAAGCAGGAGAGCATGGACATTCGTGGTGGCATGTGCCAGAGCCTCCTCGACTACTTCCTCGACGCATGGTCTGAGTCACCGTGGTGCCCTCATCTTTGCACTCCAAGGGCACAGCATGTCTCCGCCAACAGTTTGTGTTTCTTCAAGCAATATGAGGACCAATTGGGAGGCAGGCCGTACCGTGAGTGACTCTGGAGTACCTTTCCAGGTCTTGACCCTTTGATGGCTACTGTTTTGGAGTGGGGGCACAGTATGTCTGACGAACAATGGGCCGAATTCCCCTCGAACCAGTCGGAGTACAAGATCAGTGTCTCAGATTGGCCCCTCAACTCTACAAGCTCATCATACCTGTTGGGCGACAGAGATTTCGACGCTCATACTCCTCTCCTGATCGAGGTCCACGCGAGCCAGTTCACAGGTGGACGGATGAGAGCGATGAGCCGAAATCCTGATACCGTCAAAGAGGCAGTGGACGGAAGGATTGAGAGACAAAAGGCGAACAAGGCACTGGGTCCAACGATCCCGCACCTGCCGCACCTCTCTGCGCAGGGAGAGGGAGTTTCCGGTGCAACCTCGCCTGGTTCTCGACGTTGTCCAGAACCCGCTCAACCTACTGGTGCCAAAGCAACCGGTGGCAAGGGAGGCAAGTCCTCCAAAGGCAAGGACACCGACAAGGGCAAGTCCAAAGTCAAGAGCAAGGGAAAGAACTGAGTAGACTCTGACTCGAGTCGGAACCGCCGGTTTATGGTCCAGCCCCTCGAGATCCGGATGAAGTTCCTCGAGCTTCTATCCATCATCCGAGGCCGTTCGATCCTTCGCCACGTCCCGGTCACCTGTCAGCACCTCCCGGAAAGATGCGGGGACCCGCTTGTGGGTAAATGACCACGCCGCCATCTCCAATCGGAGTCTACGGCGTGGCTCCCAGGACGCGCTCTTCAGATACGTGCTGTGTTCCGTAACACCAGTTGTAAGGTCGATACGTATGTTTGGTACCTCCTCCTGAGAGGAGCTTCCAGTCTCCATCGAGGCGGGTCCTGCCGCAGCCATGTGGTCTACTTTCTCACTAAAGTTTTGAATCAGCCGATATGAGCAACGCAGGCACAAATTTGAAACGAGACCAACAACTCTTCAAGAAATGCACATGCACTGAATTGTGCTGACAGCTCACACATGAGGCAGCACATGACTCACATCCGCTCCTGCATGAACATCACATGCTAAAGCCGCGTACTCCTGTCGGAGCCAGGCGTTCAAAAAGGCTTTGTGCTCAATCATGGAACGTAATGGAGGATGTGAACCAGGTTCCTTCAATCATCCGGTTTGAACAGAGTTTGGAAGTTTTTCGGATTGGCGCTACGTTTCGTGAGAAAGATCAGCAATAGCCCCTGAGCAAGCTTCCTTCCTCAACATTTGTATCATGTGAATGGTTTCCTGCTGCTCGGGTGAGTAGTAGAAGCAGTAGAAACGAGATTGTTAGCGTCTGTTCGCATATGAATCTAGGCATCCAAACCGCTAATGTCCTTTCTCAAACCACGAAGCTTTTGGCAGGCACCAAAGCACTTCATTAACGCGTAAAGCCTTGCTCAGCGACGGTTGAGCTGAGGGTCGTTCTGTTGATCTTAGTGGATTCGACGAAAACTAAAGTGTCTCTTCGATTCTTGACCCTCTCATCAGCAATGAAGATAGTTACTGTCCTCTGGGATGACTTGTCGCTGTTGTGACGGAAAGCTGCGTCAGGAATGCCAAGAATCCTGGGAGATACCTTCACTGGCCACACCCGCAACTCAACCTCTTCACTGCGGATCTGTCGACACAACTTGCTCAACTCCTGACAGTGTCCGACGGTTGGAGCAGCAGATGCTGAGGCCCAGCGAGAAAACTTATAGCATGCCTGAAATTGCGTTCTCGACTGGAGCCAGTTCATGCTATACTGCTGCTGCTACACCAAGCAAAGACCCATAGGAGGTACGGAGAGCTTTATCACACGCGTTAGTATCCTTCAGATGCCTCGGAATGACAATCTCTTCCAACTCAGAAACACACAGCATCTGATCGATCGAGATGTACTTCTTCTTGCCCTGTGCATCAAGAACCCATCGAACACACTGTCCCGTGAACGTTAGATCGTTCTTGTCCTCGTCGCCGACAGTGTAGTGTTCCTTTAGCCCCTGCTTGGACTTCCACGCGCAGGATCCACGAAGCGCTCAAGCAGCGACTCTCAACCCTTTGGGAGGCCTTCTCGGGCAAAACAGGGAAACAAGAACCTCTGCTTCCTCCTCCAGGAAACGTCTTGCTGTCCTTTTCCAGCCTCATGTCACGGGCCCTCTCGACAATCCACCAGGTTCCTTTCCTAAGGATCATCGAGACGCGGTAAGGGCAGCCCTTCGCCTCTCTTCTTACACGCGACGCTGCCCAAGCACCCGAGAAGCTTGTCATCAGTGACAGGCCTCCAAGCATAGTCGACCATCTTCTTGGTTTCGGTGTTGAAACACTGAGCAATGTCGGGACATGAAAGATAGGAAACACTTTCTCCTTCATCATATGCGCAGCAGCGGAGCATGACATGGCATGAAGGGCAAGCTCCTTGAGATACCCAGGTTCCACCTCATGCGAAGTGCTTCCTAATAGAATTTGTCCAAACGGTTCCACCACCTGCGCAGTGCATCGTTTAGACCATATACCGGACAGAGGCACAGACGGTAACTGCACCACAACCATGCGAGATGACAGATTGTAGTGTTCCGCAACCAAACGGACACCATACCGAGTAGCCGTATAGGGCTGTCCGTTTGTTGGTCCCAGGCAAACTTGCCCTGGAAGCCCCGACAAACCCCACGGGCTTTAAACTTAGAGAAGTAACCGTTTTGTCAACGAGTCGACCTTCACCGTAAGAACCCAACGCGCGGTAAGAAAACTGATGTCGCGACTGAGCTTGCGACGGTCGGTGAGCCGGATGGCATCATTGTCCAAGTAACTCTTGAACTCTTCCAGCTTGGCAGCGCAAATTTCCTTGGCATATTTGCGCTGCATTTCCACCCTCAGCGTGCCGACCTTAATCTTGTCTTGCGGTCAACCAAGGCGCAAAGCCATCACCATCCAAGGGAACAGACGACGGAACCTGTAACGAGGTCGGAAGGCGATTCAGAACGTCATCGTCACCAGCAGCCATGGCAAGCAAGCTATCGTCACGGTAGTCGACAACGGCACAGGAGGTTCCGGGAGTGGGGTTTGCTGAATGGGAAATTCCCCCTCAGTCACAGGAAAACCCGGAACCGGAGCCTGACCAGGAGACGACGAAGCAGGTTCGTCAGAAACAGGAAAGTCGCCTGATGGAGCAGGATCCTTCTTCTCCGAAGACTGACCGGGCAACAACACGGTCCGCGACTTCGCCTTGGACCTATCATCCGGATGAGTGCCGCGAGCAGCGTCTGCGACACATTTCGTGGCGACGGCAGCCGCAATCTCTGTGCCACTGAGGAATTGCGGATGAGGAGGAATCGGAACAGGAATGATCGGTGAAGGAGGTGCCGGCCACAGCATCGCTGGACTCAGAACCTGATCCGGGTTTGCAAACTGAGGCGGAGCCCCAGGAGCATCAGGAGGGCC